ATATATATATATTTTTTTTTTTTTATATATTTTTTTTTTTTATCAATAAGTAAATGTATTCTTTTCTTCTGACACAGGTATTACCTGAACATTGACATGTTTGGTAAAGACCTGAGTTTGGCTCAGCAGCAGTTCCTGTGCCACCTTCAGCGCCACACAAACAACCTGAAGGGTCATGTGATGTGCCAGATATTCCTGGAGCCTGGTCTTTGGAGGCCCATGACTGACTTCTGTCAGAACACTTTAAATGTAGATTTGGTGAAAGAGTACACTGAGCAATGTGTGGTGGAGTCAGATCTGATCTAGCAGAAGAAGTTAAACGAGGTAAAGAAAGAAAGAAAGAAAGAAAGAAAGAAAGAAAGAAAGAAAGAAAGAAAGAAAGAAAGAAAGAAAGAAAGAAAGAAAGAAAGAAAGAAAGAAAGAGAATAGAATAGAATTCAAATACACTAAAATAAAAAAATAAAAAACATTTTTTTTGGACAGAAAGAAACTAAGATAAAAAGTATATTTTAACAAACTTACATTCTGATATATTTTATTCAGTGGAAAGTGAACACTTAGGGGGATGATCAATGCTGCATAGTCAGAAGAGTTTCCTGCAGGGCAATAGCACAAATATTTTTGGCAGGGTTGTTCTGAACCTTGCATAAAGTCCATTGCATGCAAATTTAGAGACTTCTAGTGCTAAATCTGAGGAAAATTGACATTTTCATTGTGTCAGTATGTTTGAGACAAAAAAAACCAGAATAGTAAATCTAGTGTAAGACAAAAATCATAACCTTCTTAGCTTATTAGTGTATTTGATGTTAGCTCAATTTTGTACATCCCGTTTGTTTTAAAGGTTTAAGAGGAATGGTAAGATTTGTTTCGCTGGTAGCAATAATGCATTCTAGAAATAGTACAAGTGTTCTTTTATTTTGAAGAGATAACAGTCCCTTTACCTCATTTCAAACCTTCTTCTTCTGCTCTTTCTGTAAAAACTGAAACTTTATATATGTTTAAAGGCTGAGTTGGGGTTACTAAGTCTGCACAAGTTTAAAGGCACTTTAACAAAAACAACGGAGGTGTTGAATTATAAGAAGGGATAGTTCAGGATCAAATAAGAATTACAGATTCCCTTCATTCCTGTAGTCGCAACAATAACTAGGGTTAGGAAAATCAGTTTAAATGTGCATTAAAATTATGTTAATATGCTCCGATATAAATACCTGATAAGTTTGGGGGTCTTCTGAACTTGACAAAACGCTCTACAAGTAGAGACCATTTTTAAATTTCACTTGGGGCCAGATGCTTCTTCCCCTTTTATTCGAGTATTTGACTGTAAAATATGTATGTAACAAATCTAATGTAAAAGATTCACTTCAATGGTACAGTGTTGTGCTAGTTAATCTTAAAGAAAAAAAAAAAAGTACTCCGATCCAGCTTTATTTATGTTCTAAATTCAGTTTGGCCTTCTGCACTGCAGCTGGTCCTCCTCTGTCCGGCAACACAACACGGGCGGAAAGTTTAAAAGTGTTCGTCTATTCTGTTATTACTTTTGATGAGCCTCCAGTTAATATTCTCACTTGTAAAGAAAGAATATTATTTATAACAGGCGATAAAAAGAGGGATAAAAAAAATGTAATCCAATAATCCCAACATGCGTGGGTCCTTCCAGAGACGCGTCAAAACCTGCCTGTCTGTCTGAGCAGTCAGCCGGATCACAGTGAAGGAAAACACTGCGCTTCTATTAAATGATGTCAGGCTGCGCAGTTCATCACACACACACATGAAATATACATATTCTTTAAGAAATGTATGTTTTATTGTTCTGATTTAAGATTTCTCGTTTTCACTCTGATATTGAACTGCTCCCACTGAGAACTCTGCTCTCACACTGACTCTAGTGCCTCTTGCACAAATGCATTCTGCTTTTTGTCAGAAAGCTCCACAGATCTGCACTCTCATGTTTGTCCTCTATGGAGGGGTGGATCAATACTACCGATACAGACATTAATATTAGTTCTGGATCAATACCAGTGTGGTACTATTACTATTTATTAGTTTTTTTTCTTTACTTTTAGTAAGTTTAAAAGTAGACTTCCTTCCATAAGCCTCTCATGTACAGCCGCAGCTGAACACGTCTGGGTGTTCGACAGGAATTTGATCCCAAACGCGCAACCAGACCGTTCTGAAAGGTTTAGCACTGATGGTGGTAAAATCTCACGTTTTACCTCATTAAGCAATGAAGCTGGTACAAAGTACCTGTTTTTGACGCTCTGCTCTTTGTGTTTTGCATGTAAATAAAACATAACATAAAGCCATCGCAGCTTTGCTCTGTTCAGCAGCTCCCGAGTTAGGACGGATTTTTACATCAACTTTAAATCCAGCGTCTTCCTGATCCGGTGACAGCCAGGATTCTGGTGTCATACAGATTCTTGCACCATTTTTTTTCTCTCGGTGCTCTTGGCTGAGATTTAAGTAGGTCAGGCTCTTCAAATGATTAAGGTTGTGACCATAATAAAACTTTACATTGCCAGGTTTAATCGCCACTGTTTCTAAACATGAGAGACTGAATGAAAGCCTTTGTATCTCTTCCCATTCGATGGATTATTGGAGACTGAGGCTTTTTAAAACATTACTTTTCTGAGGCTAACCAATCTGTACTTCTCTACAAACTGCAGCACTGCAGACAGACAGGAAGCCTGTTGTCTATATTGACCAAGATTACAGCTGAAGGGCAACAAAGTGGCTTTATTTAAAGGGGCAGTATTATGACAAAATCGACTTTTTGAGCTTTACGTCATGTTGCAGAGTCATTCCCTCATCGAAAACATACCCATAGAGTTGCTTTGATTCTTTCAAGCATGTTTGAGAAATCTTTGAACTTCCCATGGCAACTGTTCAGGTTTTTAAGACACCTGGGGAAACCAAAGGCTGCCTTTCATGCACAGCTCCTCCCCAGAGATGTAGCTTCCAAGCTTCTGCATTACAGGGCACTCTGCTCCTTCAAACTAGCAGCAGCAGAAATTAGCAAACACATCTGCTCAGTTCATTATATGAGCTATTTCTCAGTTCAGTTGTCTGATGAACGTTTGCGAACGCTTCATAGCGTAATGTTGACGTGCTGCAGACAACGTGTGGGAAAGAGCAGGAACGTCTTAAAGAGGCAGAGGCCCAGTTACAAGATGCTAAATTGCAAAGTGAAATTTCTCTCGAGTCATGTTTGATGTATGCAGTAGTTTTATAATAAGTGATAGTGACAGTTACTGTGTGCCTATAGAAAACACATAATACTGCCCCTTTAGAGGTTGAACAAGTTTAAAAAAGAACAACTCTGATCGGTCCGGCCAGAGAAAGACAGCTAATTATTAGGTGTGAACATTGCCTCTCTTTTCCTGCAGTCATTTACTTACATTTCTAATATAATTTTAGTCAGAACAGTGGCCAACATGTGCAGTGTTTTAAGAGAAGGTAAATGTATTTGTTCTGTACAGTTGCCATTAGAAGCCACTGTGGGCGGTTTTAGGTCAGCTCTGGGTTGGAAGGACGAAGTGATGAAAGTGTGTGCCTTGTCCTGCTATTTACATGTTTTTTTTTTTTTAGCATGCCAGTTATTTTTCTGCATTTTAAAAAGGGGGTTATTCAAAGTTTTTAAAATTGTTTGATATTTCTAAAAACCCATCTTAAATAAGCTCTGTAAGTTCATAGTTCATCATAGTTACTATTTTTGAAAATTTGCTGAATACATTGGTTGTTTTTTTGAAGACATACAGCTGCCATTATTCAAGTTACCAATGCGGGTAACATGGAGTGTGTTTTTTGGCTTGGACTCATGAAGCTCACACCCATTTGATTAGCTCCATGCACTGTATTCACACTGTATTTAACTTCATTTCTTTGAATAATGCATTCACAAAGAAAATCTGCAAATTGATTCTTAAAATATTAAAACATTATTTTACATGTTGTTTCACCAGCAATGGAAGGTAAATAAAAACAAGGAGACAGCATATATCTCTGTAGTGATTATGACAGTATTTGTTCAGACGTTCAACATGTGAAATGTAACAGGACCACCATGATGTCTCCCTTCCATCACACCTTCCCCTGTTAAAGTCACCTTGGTAGATTGTTCGAGTTCCTTCTGCAGGTGTGATTGGCAAATGTTCAGATATAGAATTTTCTGTCTCTTACTTATCGTCGTGACTAAAACAATTCCTAACTGTGCTTTGCCTCCTTTTACATCACTGCTGAAGATGCTTAGACAAACTACCTTTTGCTGATCTACACTGACACTCTCACACCCCATAATAATTTATTTCGTTCTGGTTAAATAAAGCAAATTAGCAAATCTATCTGCATGTCTGTGTGAATTCTTTTCTTTTTTGATGCTGATCTTAAAACCAAGCAACTAATATGTGGTGGTTCCTAAACCAATCAGCTGTCACGTTTTGCCATCCGGGTGGAGGGCACCGTTGGACCAATGAGCTTACAGATATTCATTTAAAATGGGTTTTAAACTATTTAAAAAAAACAAAACATCTCAACTCTTAGAAAGCCATCACTGTGATGCTGTGTACATCTTCAGTAATCAGCTTAAAATAATTTCTGGTGTCAGTTTCATACATGTTATTTCTCACCATGGTTTTAAAAGATGCATGTATGTTAGTCAGAAAAGAGGATACTTATCTCAGGAAGCCTTAGCCACACACTTGGCCCAACCAATAGATGTAGATATAATCACAGCTGCACAGCAGTGAGTGGATTCCTCTGTCTATTCAACTACACATTCCAGAAGACACAGGTTTGTGTCACACTGTGGCAGCTATGAATGCGGAGAAAGTTTGGCAATTGATAAACATATGGGGTAAGCAGTAAGATAGTTCCCCCAACTCCATCACTCTGTTCTTCCAACCCTGAGCTGGCTTGACTCATCAAAACATCTTACAAGTCAGACCAGAGGTAGACCATACTGCACTCTGTAGGAAGGTGTAAATAGGATTATACCAGCAGAACAAATATCTTTACTCGGTTTACAAGTCAGTAAATACACTCAACATGTACAGAAAAATGGTTCTGTGGAGAAACCATTCGTGTTTGGGAAGTGAGATCTGACTTTTGAGTGGAAACAATAAGATATTAGACTTGAAAATATTTGTTCTCGTATTTTGGAAGGATATTTTCCCAGCAAAGGAAGGTGTAAGACACCAAGTATTTACTTTATTTTATTTTTTTGCATTAAATATTTAATATTCATAGTTAATGCGTGTGGTAAGAGTTTTGTATGGCTTGGTAACATCTTTACACTTTTCGATCTAGTTACAAAAATCAATTTTGATTCTTTTTTTACCACTTATATCACAAATTATACATATTATGATTGATTATTTAATCAGTTATCATTCAAGAGAAAGCTATATATATATATATTACAGATATTTTCATTACCAGAGTTTTGTATACCATGCTCAGGGTGTGGATGCTAAATGCCCCACTTCCAAAGGGGTCAGGATTCCTCAATTCTTCACCATCACCATCAGTACGTTCAGAATCTAAACGGGGTTTCTGGACAGCCCCTCCAGTGTGCCGTCCTCTGTGACGTAGCACAGTTATTTATGCACTGATCACTTTGAGCCAATGACAGCCTAGGACTGTTACAAAAACACTGACAAGGCTGTCCTGTTTTCCATACCTAGTCTCTTTCGAGCTTCATCAAGTCGTTCCCTTGGTGACTGTAATGCCAAGAATGGTTTTGACAGACAGATGCTTTGTTAACATACCCATAACCCTTAAATTTAGTTAATACCTATTTTTTTAATTGGAAATGAAGGAGAAAAACCAAACATGAAGTGTTGCATAATTGGGAAGCTGCATGAAAAGGAAAGAAAATCATTTTAAAGTATAATATACTCAGCCCCTTTCACTAAACACTTCATAGAACCAGTTTTCACTTCGATTACAGTTCCTAGGACTTCATAATGCTGCCAGTTCACTGATGTCCTCTAGCAAACCTCTGAGAACTTCAAGAAACAGATTTAAATTACACACATTGGACTCAGCAGAAAAGAACACGTACATCATTTGTCACATTTTTATTTTTACTAAAAATGTGAAAGTTGTGTATCAACTCAGTGGCGTAGCCAGGAATTGCTTTTTGGGCGGGCCTAAGAAAAAAATTAGTGGGCCAAATATATATTAAAATTTAATTTACAAATACTTTATAGATGCCAAAGGGAAATTAAATGTTGTAACTCATATTAGTTCAAATTCTTCAAAGAGTTATTGTAGGTGGTGATTTATGTATTTTGAATTTATTAATTTGATGTGTCAAATTTATTATTGTAATGTTTCAATATAATTGTAATCCACATCATATGATCATCAAGCTGAAATTGAACTATCTCTGCAGTCACCAAGTTTTGAAATCCTGTAACTTGTGACCAATTGAAGTGATCAAAAGTTGGAAAGACTTTCTAAATGTTACCTGATCCCACAAACACTCCTGTCAGTAGAATAGTCCCACAGCAGTGGTTCAGCATTCCTGTAGCGGAACCAACAGATTTTTCAGTCACTGTTTAAAAAAAACCTTGTCAAAGATGAGAAAATTATTAGAATTTAATCTCATTATAATCTCTAACTGTATCTACCTCATTAATGCAACCAAAAATTGTTGCATGAACATCGCATGTCCAGCCCACAATGCATTGCGAACAGCCTTCCGAGCCCTGCTACCTTAGTTTGATGCACTCACCAAAACAGTGGCGTAGTTGTGTTTAAATTTTTGTTCTTGGTTTGAAAATTTTACAACATATTAATATTTTACTCAGTGATGGGGCCAGAAATCTTTTCTGCCAAGCCTAAAATAAATGGGTGGGTCAAATAAATCTAATTGAAAGGAAGTATATTTGTAAGTTCCACTTTTATTTCAACAGATTTATAAAAACAAAAGCGGTCGCTATACTTTTTCGTTGTCCGCCATTTTGGCTAACGTGGGTCAAAAAGAAAAATCCTGTCAACTTTACCTCAATTATTTGTACTGATAATATTTAGTTGCACTTCATTGTTTAATATTTAAACAAGCTGAAGAACTTTTTCTCTACAGTGACACAATTTTGAAATCACGGAACCTTTCACCAGTTAAAGTGATCAGAAGTTGGCTAAACTTTCTGAACGTTACCTGATCCCGCAAACACTCTTCTCAGCGAATGATTCCGTAGCAGTGAGGTATCTGAGCTAGACACACACCAAACCTCTCACCAAACCATAACTCTTCAACGCGCCGCCATGAGCTCTTAGATGGCGGAGCCGACAAGAGAAAGTGATTCTGACTTTCTCTCTCAAAAACTTGTAAAAGTTTCTTGAGATCTTGCCAAAGTCTTCCAAAATCCTGTGAAATATTTGAAAAATCCGAATGAAGTTGTTATATCAAATTATACGACCCATCATAATTTGTGACTGCCGGGCGCGATTACATATTTCTCTGCACGATTTAAAGATAAAAACTTGTATTCCATTTAGAATCATTTATTAAACGCTTATTGACTTATTAAATGGCTACAGTGGGTTTCTACATGGGCAATCAATGCGATGGTGTGTCAAATACAAAATAATACATTATGCTTTTCCTGTTAATGCTAACAAAGAAGCTGAAAAGTTAGCATAAAGAAGCTCCTGTATTAAAGGTAATCTTGATACGTTTTCACAGGAACTTGAGGAACATTTGCAGGATCTGGAGAAAGTAAGTCAGGATCATTTCTTTTTTTTTTCCATGTCCTCTGACAGGCTGTGTATTGATGATAAATTGATGGAAGTTTTTCGTGATGCTCTCTGTGTGTAAGTTGAAGGCGTTTGTGTGTCAGCACCAAGCGGTGAGGTGTGTGTAAACTGACAAAATGAAATGGCTGTCAGATTTTTTGTTGTCACCAAATTACAATTCACACACAACTACTTAGTGCAGACCAAAGACTGTTCCAAGTTTATGCACAGAGAACATTGTAGAGGTAACTGATTCAATCAATAAAATAATAATAAAATTCCACCCAATTATCGTCTCTGACCTTGAAAGCATCTTGCTCCACTACGGTTCTCTATCACTCTAATTTACAGTGCGGTTCGCTCCACTCTGCTGTGGACCCCAGGGGTCCGAGAAGCAAAATTAAAAGAAAACAATAGATCGCACAACAAAGCCAATGATAAATGGGATTGGTGGTGTGATTTACTGTCGTTCTCAACTTCCAAAGTTAATATTTTTTCCCTCCATCACTCTCTCATTTCATCTGCCTTGTCTGACACTGCTACTGCAATTTGAGAGGGAAACCTTTGGACATGAGGCTTTGGGGTGTGTTTGGTGAAGGAGAGCATTCTGTGGGATTTCCTCCTGTTAGTCCTCATTCAGAGAATGATACCGACTTTTGATCACTTCACACAGTGAAATGTTCTCCGATTTCAAAAAGTCAGCGACCAGCCTGCTGTCTGCTTAACACATAAAACCCCGAACACAAAATAGTTTTTTTAAGGAGGCCAAAAAATGTGGAAAAGTTCAAGGTGAATGATGACTTTGAAGGTACAGTAAGAGTAATTAATACATGTCTCTATGGTCATCCTGTTTCTAGTTTTATTTCAGTTATTAAAGCTGCACAAAACAAAATGCAGATAAAAGATGTTAATTATTTCTATAAATCAGAGAAATCCTTATGAATGGAGAAAATGGAATATTAAAGGCAAAACATCTTTGAATATAAAATAAAAATGTGCTTTTGTACTTTATATAGAAAATTTTTATTTTTATATGTAATTCTCTAAACATTGTTTTTGAAATGCTCATTCCAAATTTTGTTAAATAAGTGGTAAAATAAAGAACTTCAGGCAAATATTTATACATCAACTACAAGAATATTTTTCAAGGTTTGTTAAAAACAGTGGAAATTTGTGATTGGTGAAAACATAACAGACTTTCATTTTATTAAATTAGAAGCATTTTTAAACGTTGTTACATGATTATTATTAAAGTCTCATAAGTTAAAATGTCTTAGTGCAGATTTTGGCTTATTGTGATTTTATCTTGTTTTTTATTATTATTATTTCTTATTCAACATAGTTCTGTTGTAATTTTACCCTCACACTGTACAGATGAAATATGTACACTTACTAAAAACATTCACAAGACAAAAAAACAATTATTAACAAAATAAAGGCAATCTAACACAAACAGGAGTCATTTATTCTGCATGAATTTCGAGATGCTGCGATGGACTGGATGCACCCCACCTCCCCTTGTGACCCTTCAAGGATAAGCATGTTCACATAATGGATGGATTTAGAGACTAGATTGTGTATATCCTCCATATCGCAGAAAATGAGGTGCAAGTAGTTTATTATTCCTAAATATGTTTAGATATGGAAACAAAGCAATCACAAGACCATTAGACGTTATTTACCCAGGATGCATTGCAGCGTGAACTACTACGTGTGACAATATTTTATTAAAATTTATAAAAACTAAACAACCTGCAGTATTATTGTTTTTGCATCTAAAATAAGCATTTCTCAAATAAATTCTATTGCTACAACTAATCATGGATCCCTTTAAATGTTTATGTAATGAATTGAGACGGTTTGGCTAGCTCCTCGTGAGCTAACCGGGGCCTCACTGTATACAGTGAGGCCCCGGTTAGAGTTGAACGACATGGAAGCAAATATCAGTTTAACAGATTTACTGAAGGCGCACACTTTGTCTATTTAAAATTACAGAAAAGTTGTAGAGTGTCTGTAATACAGCAACAATGCAACGTAAATAAACATCACTAAGTAAGCCATATCTGTAACATTTAGCTTGCTAAATTAGCTTAATTTGCTCTGTAACGCTGCTAGATAAATCACATTGCAAAGTTGGAGGAAAAAAAAACAGTCATAAGCTCCACTGTAGGAATTATATTCTAATAAAACAATAAAACACAACATATTAAAATAATACAGAACTCGTGTTTTCAGTCACACACGCAAAGTCCCTTGCTTGTCGTGTTGGAATGAAGAAATGAGTCTCTGTTGTAGCCTGCCTCAATATTGTACGACCAAAAACGCCCCCTAGTGGGCATTCAGAACAGTTTATTTAGAATAAATTTTATTCTTGATCCCCATTAATCCGTCCTTCATTCATTGCTCACTAGTGACATCTGCTGTTGAACTGAAATTATGACAACCTAGCATTTCAAATAAATCATAGATCCCAAAAAAACCCCACATACCACTGCACTGTATGCTCACAAACGCTTTTGTCAAACCCATGTCCAGTAACAGTAGATCTAGATTAAACGGTCATCTTTTTAGTTCTTAAAATTATTGCTATCCTAATTAATCCTGCTAGTATGTTAACTGTCAACTGCGGTTATGCTTTCTTTTGTCATGAACTGATTTGACAAAGATAATTGTTTTATTGTCTTTGGTGGTGCAGTGCTGTTTGAGGCAGACATGGGATGCTTTGTGAATGTGATTTCATCCATCCATCCATTTTCTGAACACCCTGGTCCCTCAGTGGGGTCGGGAGGGGTGCTGGTGCCTATCTCCAGCTAACGTTCCGGGCAAGAGGCGGGGTACATCCTGGACAGGTCGCCAGTCTGTCGCAGTGAATGTGATTTCCTGAACTAAAATTCTTCCAGGTTTATTTTTCTGGAACCTCTGATTCCAAATCCTTTGTGGCACTGTTTTTCAAAGCACACTGCCCTGAAAGTTTTAAGCATTCCGCTGCATTGATGCTGATAAAATTTTGCATCAATGCTAAAGTAAGCTACAATGTACTCACATATTGTGTACATTAAGCATGTGGAGAGTCACAAGAATGTTGAGTAACATGGACTTACTCCATTCATTATGTTAGAATTAGTGTAGAAGATAAAATTAGCTGAAATGCTAATGTTAGCCTAAATACTGCCAGTGGCATTTGGAGTATCACTAGTATGATGTCTTACATTGACTTACTTCATTCAGTATGCTAAACATGGCAAATAATTTTTAAAAAATAGCTAAAAAGCTTATTTTAGGGAAAGGCTAGAGAGAGGGCAGTGTACTGCTATTGTCTGTGCTAATGTTAATGCACTGACTTCTGATTTTTACTTTGGCAAAAGTAAAAATCAGATGTTTGCTAGTAGCACTTCGTTACCAGAAATCGCTCTCATCTCTCAGCAACAGATTAACAACAAATACTCTTATTGTTTAAAAAACAGAAGGTTTCTTCTGCTCTTTTCATTGTCATTGGCAGTAAATATATTACGAAACAGACATTCAACACAAAAGCAAAAATCAGATTTAAACTTTGTGGCAGTTCGTTATCAGAAAAAAAAAACGCTCATCCTTTAACACCAAATTTATAACAAGTAATATTATTGTTTATAAAACATAAGCTCTTTTGAAGTACTGCTTATCTGCTTAGACACAGGAAATTTACAGTTGGTAAATTTAGCAAAATATCAGATGTTTTAGTTTGTGGCATTTCGTTACCAGAAAACACGCTCATCTCTTAGCAACAGATTAACAAATATTATTGTTCAAAAAACATAACATTTCTTCTGCTTTTTGAAATATTACTTATCTTATACTACTTATTAAGTAAGTAGTATAACTTTTATAGTATAACTTACTAAATAAATGTGTGTTTTTTAATGATAATATTGTTTTATTCGTTGACTTTTAAGCTGCAAACCTGTGTGAAGGAAGGTCTGTTTTTGACATAATTTTTTGGGACAACACTGGCAAAAATTCATAAATTCACCAATGAGCGAGTCTGGCTGAACAAAACTAATAAAAACTAAAAACATTTTAATGCCACTGCGGTTCAGATTCAATGCCTTGTAAGGCCTTAAATTCAATCAAATCAATTTAATAACTTTTGATGCGCTTTAACGCCCCAGAGAAACATTCCGTCTCCTCTTAAGTTTATTTTCGTGCTAAAAGTGGATCTGTTGTCTCTTCCATATTGTTGTTTAGCCTCTAAAGTTTGGAACGAAGGGATCCAACCGTCGGTTTATTGGAGCAGAACTCTTTCCACCAGGAGGGACGCTCCAGCACCTGACTGCCTTGCATCACAGTGGACCACAGGTTCTTATACAGCTGCAGACAGAAGAAATGATCTGGTGAATAAAGCTACTTAAGATGCCACGCACACCAGAAACAATATTAATTGATATTGTGTACATTAAGACTTATTCAGCTGAATGTGATTTCATAACACAAATTAACACACAAAAAGGAGATATTACATGTTTTCTTTTTATATTTGAAAAGAACAACTTTCCAGTATTTAGTCTTTAATTCATTTATTGTCATTCTGGGTGGTTCTGTCTCGTTATGGAAATAGCAAAATTTTCACTCAGGTTCGTATTTCTTTACCTCTCCAGGGCTGGGCATTTATTGTATTGTGTATCATTTATAAATTGATAAATTATCTTATCATGATGAGAATTTTGATTTATTTTTATAATAATTACCAGTTAATGACGTTTAAAAAACTGTCTGTATTGCTGGGATTGTTAACTATTCTCTCCACTGTTTGTTCAATAAGAGAATGAATACATATCAATAAATTTGAAAATATGATGAAATGCAGTTACTGTGTCTGGTTTTGTGACATAAACAACACTTATTTATGTGACTGTATTCCTAAAGAAGTGTATTGGAAATGGATATGTTGTTCAAGAGCAGTGTTTGTTTGTTTGTTTGCTATCCAGTGACAGCCAGACAGCTAGCTAAAAAAAAGAAGTAATGAAAGTTTTTATCATCCCTTTTGTCATTATCACAATAGTATCATAAAATATCATGATAACACTTTCAGTCCATATTGTCCTTCCCTACCTCTCCGTCAGCGTTGGCAATAGGGGAGTTGAGGATGAAATCTGTGGGAGCTAAAACATCCACTAGAGCCACCGCTTCATTCTTCAGCTGTTGAGACAAAAAGGAATTCAAGATGACAATTCATGATTCAAGTTTATGAAAACACAAAAGAGATAACAAAACTGAATGCTAATGACTTCTGGAAAACACTCCCCACACACTCTGCCATCACCATTACCAACACCAGATGGATGGATGTGTGTTGGTGCACACAAACTTGCTAAAATAGTTGACTTCTCATTTTTAATAAAAAAAAAAAAAAAAACATGCCAAAAAATTATTTGAACTTGGCAGGGGCTTAGCACGTCTGGCAACTGGTCTTGGTACATGTGAAAGGATGTGGGCAAGATATTATGTTGAAGAAAGAAAAACACTGAAAAATATTCAGAAGCCAAATTGTTTTAAACCTTAATTGCTTTTGTTTTAATCAGTAATGCAAAGTGAGTGAAGAGAGGACCAATTTAAATCAAATAGATGAGTGTGTGACCATCCTTCCATTTTAAAACAAGTTTTCAAGTTGTAGTTGTTCTTTGTATGTTTAAAGTGTAAATGAATGTGTTAGAG